CATATGTTTTTCTATGTTTTGTCAACGGTAACGTCAAACTCTTAACTAACTGCATACGTTCTTAACTTGCCTTCAATACTTATCGCCTGGATGATCTTGAAGATCAAGCATGAAAGACTATTTACGAATTTTTCCCACCCAACTTTTCTTTTAATTAAAGGAGTAATTAAGCATAAAAACTTGTGAGTTTCCGAGATTAGAACACCAAGAAGTTGACTTTTAGTATTCTAATTCATTCTCAACATAAACAAATGCTAGCTATCCTGGGTATTTTCTCAAGATAAATAATATAAATTGAATTTCAGTTGCAACATATGGAGCATAATTAGTAAAAAAAACTCAAGGGAATCCATAGTAAACAGTGAAATAGGATGACAAATATCACAGAAAAAAGTAATAGTCCAATGTGTTACAATAAGACTCACCTCGAATGTAGTGAGCTAATTTGAGAAGAACAGAACAGTCAGCTTCAGATTCTATCACCCAATCGATACGCATCTATGAAAGGAATATAGAACAATTTATTATTATCAGGCGAAGAGGCAATAAAATTGGGAAAAAAGTATTGCCAACATCGATTGATGAATCACTTAAATAATACATATGCATTGATGGAAATTGAATGCTAATATCATTTATTATCTACCAACCTAAGCCCTGACATTGTGTGATTACTGAATTCTTCAAAGAAGTATCCCTACTTGTTTAGTATACCCAGTTGGGCTAAATGTGGGCTGACTTTACTTTTTCAACTTTGTCTTGTTGTCAGGGCGACTTAGTTGAACGCACCATGTCTGAAGTCGCCTGATATAGTAGTTGTCATCATTCTCAGCATCAGATCGTGGACTCGGATTAGCCGATCAAAAGGTCCAAAGTAAATAGGTGTGATGAGGCTACTGCAAATTAGCCAAAAAGGGCACATCCTTTGACGAGGTGAATGTAAACAAGTCAGAAGTGGTGATAATGCGGGAGTCGGATAAGGTAAGAGAAGTAGAGCCAGGACAGAAAGAGGGATGATAGTGTAATTGTTTCGGTAGAACGTTGGTCGAGGAATTGACTTCACTTGCCTCTAACGAGTTTGTCGCTTGGCTCGGGGAATGGCAAGACTAACTGATGAAGCCGACTACGATGCTGGCGAAACTTCTGAGAATGTACCAAATCCACGGCCTGATGGTGGGAAATATGATAACTACTATGACAGAGGACTTCGAACAAGATGCGTCCTGGTAAGTCGCTCTGATAAAAAGACCAAGTTGCGAAACAGGATCAACCCACTTCTATAAATCTAAACGATACTGCAATAAGACCGAGGGCCACGCCATATTGGTCTCGATTA